GGAGGCTAGGAAAGGAGCCAGAAGTTCAAGTGGATCACCAAAACCTGTAATATGACGTTCAAATACCACTGGAAAAGAGGGTTTCTGATAGGGAGATACAATCTAATTACTCCCCTTCAAAACCAAAAGGCTTGGGATGCAAAACCACAGAGATGTGGTTGCCTGGAGAACAGTAAGGTAGATCTTGACTAAGCTGAGAGGACATTTTGCCACTTACAGCACTAAGAGAAATTCCAAAGCAGCCAGGGCTATGGGAAAAACAGAAAAGAATTAGGGATTTCTAGGATTTCAGGAAGGTTGACAATCCATAGGGTGGGTGGGAAGTGTGAGAAAATGTGTAGGAAATCAACTCTAAAATATTGCCATTTGCATACTTAGTTTCCAGTAACGTTTCATGGTAAGGACTACAATTTCCCAGCAATGTCACAACATAAAGTGAAGGCCAAAAAAATAAGACCAAACTGGCTTGTCAGAAACCCTCAAATGCATAGGAATAATTTATTTAAAGTAAATCAACAAACACACCTGACTTGCTGCTCACGGAAAGCACAGGTGAAAAGCAGAAAGAAGTGTAGTTGCTGGAAAACTTTTTTCTTACTTTTGAATGCATGGGCTACCTGGAATATTTAATTACCTCTGAGAAAACCATGTCCAAGTTACTTTTTTAGCACTTTTTAAAAATTTTATGAAAGTTGAAATTTAAAAGAGTTACCAGAGAAAAGACCAGTGGAATCCTGAATTGCATCAAGGAAAAGACAGGGGTAAATGAACTAAAGTGAAGGACATGTTAAAAAATGGCAAAGAAAAAAAGCCTTTAAAAAAAATCTGTAGCAAGCAGAAATATTCCTGAACACACATTATTATTAAAAACTAAACTTATACAAAGTGCTTGATTTGTTACTATGCTTTGTAAAAAGCCAACACAGTGACAAAATTAACCCTTTGACCTTATCCTGGAATGGAATTTTTGCTGTCTTTAGAAGACAGGCCACAGGGAAAGCACTTACAGGCCACAGGGAAAGCACTCAGCTGAACTATGATCTTTTTTTCTTCAAAAATATTTCAAGAATTTATTTTTTGTTTTCTTCATAAATTAAATTAATTGGAAAAATACCCTTTTTTCCATTTACCTGAGACCCTCCAGAAGCAGGCACAAGGCATGAACACAGATTTGCAATGAGAGTCTCCAGTGACACGTTCAGGCTGTCCACATACACGGTATAGATCAGACCAAGGCAAGCCTAGAAAGGCAGACAAAATACATTAGACTGCTATACAGGGAAGGCAGGTGTCAAATTACTTAAAGATCTATGTATATATTTTTTTAAAAATAAGTGTATCTTAATAGTTATTAATGTAGTGAAGTACTTTCCAACTGAAGGCAAAGTAATCTGCTCTAGAAGCAATCATTCATTTAAAAAAAATAGCTTGGCTATTTAGAAGGGATGTATGTGCTGGCAGGTGTAGATATATATATATTTTTTTTAAAAGGAATTAAATGTTAAAATATTTGTGCTTTGTTCATTACACAAAAAGTGCTTTACTACAAGTTACTTTTAAAAATTATAAAATCAACAGTCTCATCTGTGCCTTGGATTCTATGGACCTAAACCCGACTGGTTTCCAGAGTAGAACACTGATGAATCAATGAGCTTTTGAGGCTCGCTTTAAGATTAGCATCAAGAATCAACAATTCCATGTTATTTAACTTACATTCATTATTTTATTATTTCAATATAAATATATTTTTAAATGAACAGTATATTAACAGTTCACCATCTCCATTTTTTTGTATGGATCTAGTTTTGACTGAGAAATCACAGATAGAGCTTTACCATTTTTACTAATAATTTAATATGAGATGATTTAACATCACATTCTAAGAAGCCTTTGGAAAAAAGGAAAGAAATAACTTTGTTCCACAGCATCCTTTTGGTGCCTTTTAACTGCTGTAATTTTGATAATTCAGCAAATATTTTAGGAATTGTCTTCTTAAAAATAATTCCAACAGTAACTTTTCATATAACACATAGTTAAGCTGTGAAACTCCTTGCCATGAGTTGTTGTAAAATCTGAGTGTTAAGAAACCGGACAAATTATATGAAAAAACCCTGTACAACTGACACCTCTGGTTCAGGATGTCATTTAACTATAATTCACACTGAATTAGGAAAGTATTTTGTGGAATTATTTCTACACCCTGCCCTGTTCTTACACACTTTGCTTTGCATTCACTACAGGCCACTATCAGAGACAAAGTACTGGGCTACGTGGACTTTTAATCTCACTCGGTACAGTCATTCTTAATGTCTAATGACAATTTAACTGTTGAATGATTTCCTCCCTTGATCTGTAAACTGAACTATATTTGTTTCTCTTAATATGTATTAGCTTAATAAAAATTTAAGCTTTTCATTTATCTCAGATCAGCCATATTTCATCAGCTGAAAGTAATCCAAGATCCTAAATCTCTGTCATGCATCTTAATTTGATCTGGAAGAGGCTCTGACATTTTGCCTTACATATGGAGGAAAACTAGGATTTCACTATTAATTTACCATTATATATTTAATCAAATATTGTTAATGTGTTGTTTTTACCTGAACAAGTCTGGTTTTGTCCTAATAATTCCCTTCATTATACAGTAAATGGAGCTCAGAAAATTTATTTCATCTTCTATGTCGATTTAAAACTGCTTGGAGGGTAAAAAAAGCACTGCTTCAACCTATAGGGGCTATTTACTGTCATAGACATTGAATTTTATCTAGTTCAATCTAACCCTACTTTTGCTTTTAAATTCCCAAATCAATCCTGAGATGTTTTAAATTAAAAGTACTGTCACTGCTAGTCATTAAAAACGGATTTGTCTGCTGACATATATTATAAATGACAATAGCAAGTTCTTTACCCTGAAAATTTCTGGATAATCTAGTCTGGACACCAACACCAGACTTTTAGGAGCAAATACTTCTGCAGGCGGAATTAAACCAGACTCCTCTTCACCTTCAATTTCTTTTGTTCCCTTGAAAACAGAAACACTTCAATTAATAAGCAGAAAGAAACCTCAAACTAAAAGGTTAGTGTTCTCGCAAAAAGTTAACATTTCTCAGAACTTTAGAAAAGAAAATGAATGCATTATTTGAAACTGGTAATGAAGTAAGTCAACTAACAGGAGCACATTCCAATGGTTGCCTGAACTCCCTAAAAGCTTCTAGATGTAGTTCAACTTGTTAGAGCTCACCTCGGAAGTCACGCACCAATGCACCTAAAATAAAGTTCTCTGAGACAGCAGTTTAACAGAACAATGTTTCACATTAAATGTTCCCTGTTTCACATTTTAGATAGTGAAGTGGATTGTAGAATGGGATCTTTTCACATTGAAGTGTTAGCTGGTTTACAATCAGCCATACTCTAAACAGAGAAAAAAATACATATTTCACAAAAGAATGTTTGTTTGTCCTACTCATATCCATATAATTCAATTTCTTAGAGAATTTCTATTATTACGTACAAAGTAATTTCCAGCCTGACCCAATGAATTTGGAATCTAAAGGAATTTCTTCACAAGAAAACTAGTTCAGATTTCTCAAGAAATCCCTCAAACTTATGAACTACTAAGTTTCTGCTTAAAAAAAAAAAAAAAAAAAAAAAAAAAGAGAAAGGTACAATGCAGATAAACTTGCAGTTGTTCATGAGATTGTTCAAGTTGCTATAACCTCCTTGCCAGTGCTTACTATGCAATCACAAATATTTTACTGTTACTCATGGCCAAAACTGAAGATGTCACTAAATACTTTCATTTCTAAAATTCCACACATTCTTTGACAAATTCATTAACTGATTAAGTCTTCAAATGACTGAAAGTCTGCGATTTCCAATTTTTGCACGTAATTCTCTCCACCCACACACCACCCACCAAATTTCTAAAGTATTTCATTTGTTCCTCTGACCGGGCATTCTTCTAAGCAAAAATCACTATGTTATCTTAATTAGGAATACGAGAAAAATTACTTCCCTTTCCATATGACAACATGAAATGTCTGCCTTCTATTTCTATCATGTTACTAGTCATTATTTCAGTGTCTTTAAGAAAAAAAAAAAAAAATCCAACATCACTTTTCTATTAAATGGAAGAAACCTGATAAAAATGCTCTTAAATGCCAGGCATGCTGTGAGTTCATAAGCTTTACTTCACAACCTCAATTCAGAATGTATGGTTTCTTTAAGCAAATGCAGGTATCCAAATAAAAGCAGTTAGAAATTAAAAAGCTGACTTAATAAGTGCTTTTAATTATGAAAAATGTTTAGCTACAATAAAATTCAGATGGGAATTTTATTGATAGGGGTGCACAATCAAAGAAGTTTGGAGACCACCACCCTACAGCATAGTTGCTCTTCTAGTAGGAAACTAAATAGGTTCCTTCGAAAGCACTTGTTGTTTTAACTAACCTAAATGACTTTCTACTGAAACAAAATACAGAGTAACAGTGCTATCCTGTCCAGTCCTGTCTGCCTTGGTCAGAGCCAAATGGTGGCAGCTGAAGACCTTAGCTGTCAGGCAGCAGTCATCATCTGTGAACCACTCAATCGTTTTTGCCTCCACACCAAGACCTGCGTTTTATTATATAAATGCTCTCCTCAGCTCCAGCACTGAATTGAAAAGGTCACTTGAAAAGGTCCAGTAGCTGGGTATCAGCTAGAAGCTGCACTGAAAGCTGTAGAGTAATAGAGAGCTACTTCCTAACCCGACCCGCAGGTACAGGTATCTGCCTTAGAGCCTTTGTGCATTGCCCTTCCACCCATAAAGTCAGACCTGGCTTTTCAGGCTTGCGTCTTGGACATGGGGTGTGTGTCTCTTGGAAGCTGCTCAACCACACTCAAGTTTGTGTCAACCTATGCTAAAACACTTCTCACACACAACTCCCTAAAAACCAAGCTATATAGGTATGTGTGTGTGCACATACACCTTGGTGCTCTATTTTCATTTCTATTTAAACAAAAAAGGGCATGTAGTTTTTTATATGTATACCAGAGGAGACACAAATGCTATAAAATATTCTTATGCTTTTATATACAAAAACTAAATGAGATTCTGGGGTTCCTGTAAAACTGCCACTGTGATTCTTCAGGACATAAAAGTTCGGTGGTATTCGCTTATGCTATGCCATCCCTTGTCTAAGCAAGATAAAAAAAAAAAAAAAAAAAAAAACAAAAAAAAAAAGAAGAAAGTATAAGCATCACTGTACTGAGTCAGACAAAAGGTTCATCTATAGCTTAGTACCCCGTCTTGGTGTCAAGGGCCCCTCCTGAACAGAGGGCAAGCTTAGCGAGGCCATTCCTCCAGTGCATTCTCCCTGTCTCCAGCAATCTGCAGCTCAGGAACTTCCTGACCTGAGGACAGCCTATCTAAAAAACAATTCATCATTCAAGTAAAAATGGTTTAAAAAGAGAGTACTTATGTCTGTATTAACCAAGCTGTTCCAATTAAGAGATATGTATAATATTTTCTTACTAAAGTAAAAACAATTGGCACAGCAATATATATACGCATATATACATATATATATATGGTCTTATACTTGGCCTTGTACATTAATTCTTACCTAAAGAGCAACCTATACATATGCAACATACATGCTTAGTCTAGTTTGCATCTCATTTCTAGGTTAAAATTGTGATTCACAAATTAATAGAGAAACACAGTAACTTAACAATCACATGTCCCACACATGTTCATTTACTTCCATCCATTAGAATGTTGACAGGGAGAGCTTTTAGATTAATTACAGTTCCCTCCCCCAACCCCAAAAATGCAAGAAGGATTTTTAAATTATAGTTTAGTGGTTATACACCACTAAACATATAATCAACAAAAGTTTATTATATCAACTGTTCTAAAGAGTAGTTATGAATTCTAGGCATAGAGGCAACAGATTCTGGCTATATGACAAATTGTGGACCCTGACAAGATTAGGAAAAATGAAATTAAAACATATTCCACATTTCTACAGGCAAGGGAATATGGATGCTTCTCTAGAGTCACATGGTACTAAGATAATGAAAAATCAGGGTGCGTAGACAGGGAAGAGGTTTCTATAAAAGGCCATTTTCATAAAATCCACTTCAGATCAAGTCTTGAATTAATTCTTAATTAGATTTAATTTAAAACTTTTAAGGGCACAATAGCAGCACCGTGTTGAATTGATAAATCATTTACACCATAAAAACACTCTCTTACTTCATAAAAGATTTACGGAAAAATGTAATGTGACTAGCCGTATTTCTTCCACAGCTAAACGTTCTGACAGGCACGCAGGCACATTTATTAGGAGTCACTAGACTAAGTAGATAATCATTTCAAACACATGACTTTTAACCTACTTTTCAGGCAAAGTATTAACAGCACAAGCATTCTGTAGCAATACTACATACAAAGCGGTAAACCCACAAACTTCATTCTTTCTGGTTAAGCTTTTGCTCAGACACATATACATTTCATCTTTCTTTATCCCCTTTCTCATCTAAGGAAAAAATATTCTCTAATCAAAACTAACAAAATAAAAGAGTTGGTTTAGGGTTTTGTTTTCCTCAACACTTTTTTATTTTATAAGTATAACATTCAGTTTACAACTAAATTAAGAATAATTGTATGTTAAGGAAAACCTTGCTAATGCTGATACATAAACTAAAAGATTAATTTAAATTGGTTACATAAGAAGATAATACTGCTATTTAATTTATTTTTTTTAAATCTAGTTGATTATTATAGTTTTCCTTTTGCACTTATATTGGCTGGAAAAAGATGATAATGGTATTTCGTATACTGCTATAGGGCTTCCCTGATATATCTCATGTAGACTGTTCAGTAGAACAGATTAAGAATTTTCTTAATTTCAATTACATATTGAAAGAGACTTCTTTTTTTGTTTCCCCCCTTTTCTTTCTACATACAGGCAGACTTTGAAAACAGCTGAGATGAGAAAAACGTACCACTAGAGAGCAAACCAGTGTTCCAAATGCTTAAAGATCCATTTAAAGGTGACACACATTTAAAATCTAATTCAGAAATATCTGTGCCTTTAGATTGGAAACGAAGGAATGTTTTTTAAACATCAGATTAATAAAGTTCTGAAAAACGCTTCAGCAGGCTAACGAATAGGTAACAGAGACTGATTTAACTGTATTAATGAAAGGAGCTGTATGATGACCTGTGATGATACATGATTTCACCATGCTTAAAATATTTGGTCCCCTGTAATTATATCTGTGTTTGACTGAAGCCCATCAGGGTCGTGTTCCCTGCCTGCCAAACCCAGAATCCTCTTTTCTTCTGCATCTTGACTTGGTTTCTAAAGTTATAAGGAGAATATAGTGCAGAGATGTGTAAACTATGGCTGACTTCAAGTCCATAGAGCCGTTTACAAAATCTACCAGATAATACCACAATTATTAAAATGTTCATTACGGAACTTCTTATCCACAATATCACCTGGTTAACAAAAACTGTCTTTGCAGAAATCTTCATTGCGAGGGGTCCTTGTTCACATACATACAATTGTGACAGTGTGGGCATCTGAAACATGAAAGGTACATAGGATTCTCTTTGGTTTTTTAGAGTGCCTTTTTTCTTCTAGCCCCCACTGCATATCTTGGAGAAACAGTATTGCCAAACTGTTAGATTTGGATTCTTCTTAAACAAATTTTAAATCATCGTATTCCAAAGTGTAAAAAAACATAGATACAACATGATAGTGTTGAATGTTACTACTTGTGTCCTGTGAGATCAAAAAAAAGGATAGGAAAAATCAAGATAACCAATTTTAAAGCTAGATACAGAATTAAGATTCTTAAAATTTTAAAATACAATTAAACAAGCATTTATTTATGGTGGAAGTATAACATGGCTGAGGATGTATCATAAGTTTAACCAGAAAAATCTTATCTGGTTTTACAGCAGGGTGTTTGATTTGTTTACTTGTCTTCCCCTCACCCTCTTTTCCTGCATAAACAATATATAATCAT